CACGTGGGGCCTGGGGATTGAACTCAGGTGCAAGTGCCTTTACCACTGAGCCATTCCACCAGCCCAGGGATTAATATTGAAAAGCATTTATAATTGATGATATCTGAGTTCAAAGCTCCACCCTAGCACATTATCATTTTCAAAGAGTGCTGGTTTTTTTTTTTTCTTTTTTCTTTCTCAGATAGGAAGCTGTTATCTTGAGATAACAAAACTGACAGAACAGGATCAGGAAGTCACATTTTCATTCATTAGGACTTGAACATACCTCTTTTGACTCGCAGATCACTTCTCTATGCCATCTCTGTCACAAGTCTCTAAACAGCTTATCAACTCGCAGAAGCATACCTTCTGGTCTAGGAAGCAGCAGAATGTCCGGGGTTATAATTCTTGAGGTTATCAGGAAATTGGAGTCTTTGAAATCATCCTGTAACCTTGAGCAGAAAGGTGAACGCTGTCTGCTTTGATAGATAGATGATGGGGGAAATATCCTTTGATTCAATGGGCAATTTGTAAATATAAAACAGCTGCTGGAAAATTTTATTACAGATGAACTATCTCCTCCCTTACAATGTTTGCTTTTCTTTAATGCAATTTAAGTGGAGCAGAAAGGCTCGGGAGGGCCACATTCAATGCTAAGGAGAGGTTGCTGGAATCGAGACACACGGCATGAGAAAAGCAAGCCATAGATTTGGAACAGGGGCGAACTAAGGCCGTCTGCTCAGCCCTGGGCTGTGCCCACGGGAAATTGAATTCAGAGCTTCTACTGCATCATAAATCCAGGGCAGCTGGCAGCAATCCAAGGGAGACTAAAGCTCAACTCCAAGGGCATCTGACGCCAGACTGGCCAACCCCTATAATAATGCTTTCTGAGAGCCGGGCCCCAGCTGTGCTGGACTGGGATTAGGGCTCAGCATCTCGACTACATGCATTTACAAGCCTTATACTCTGTTAATTTTAAAATGCAACCAATCCGCAGGAAAAATGAGACTCCATTGTTATTATACACCGGAAGGATAAAAGGCTGGTATTATCCTATCCTAACATCCTGAGGATGAAGAAGGGTGGGGGTGGGGGTGGGGGGAGAAGTGGCTCAGTGGTTAAGAGCACTGGGTGCTCCTCCAGAGGACCTGGGTTCGATTCCCAGCATCTAGGCTGCATTCTCAGTGGGCTCATTTTCAGGTTGTTGTTGTTATTATTATTATTATTATTATTATTATTATTATTATCATTATTTCAGACAGGGTCTCTCTAGGTAGCACTGGCTGGCCTGGAATTCACTATGTAGCCCAAGCCCACTTTAAATTCATAGAGATCTTCCTGCTGGAGTCAAAGTTATTCACTGCCACACCCAAGTTTTATTATTTTTAAAAATAGGCACTTAAAAAAAAAGATTTATTTAGCTGGGCATCGTGATACACCCTTTTAATCCCAGCATTCGGGAGGCAGAGGCAGGTGGATCTCTTGAGTTCGAGGCCAGGATGGTCTACAAAGAGAGTTCCGGGACAGAGAAACCCTGCCTCAATTTTTAAATTTTATTTTATGTGTATCTGTGTTTTGCCTGTATGTATATATGTGCACCACAAGCATGTCTGGTGTTTGTGGAGGCAAGAAAGTGTGTCAGATACCCAGGAACTGGAGTTACAGATGTTGTGTGTCCCCATGTAGGTGCTAGGAATCAAACCAAAGTGATCCCGAAAAGCAGCCAGTGCTCTTCATCGCTGAGCCGAGCCATCTCTCCAGCTTCTTCTTTTTTAAACTTTTATTTTCTTTTTAATTAGGTATATGTCTGTGTGTGGATTATGTGCATGTGAGTGCAGGTGCCACTGGATCCTTTTTGGAGCTGGAGTTACAGGGGGTTCTGAGCTTCCCCATGTGGGTGCTGGGAACCAAACTCTGGTCCTCTTCAAGAGCAGCAAACGTTCTTAACAGCAAAACTATGTCCCCACACGATTATTTGTGTGTATGTAATATGTGGACGCTCACGCATGCTGAGGTCACAGTAAAACTTTATAGTCTGTTCTCTCCTTCTACCTTTATATGGGGAGTGGGGGACACCGTTGAGCCAATTGTCAGCCTTCACTTCTAGGTCTTTTCCCATTCACCTACTCCGTGCACGCGCGAGTCGCAACCCTAGCCGCCGCTCGTTTGGTAGAGTGGGGGCGTTCCCGTGCCCCTGATTGACACACCTTCGTCTCCAGGACGCCCTAGAACGCGAGAATGGAGGTTTGAGGGAGGGTGCTGCTCTGCAGGAGCCAGGTCTCTGGGCTAGCAGTTACAGCAGCAGCTGCAAGGCCGGGCGGGAGTTGGAGGGCGGGGACCGCTCATCGTCGGGGCTCCGCCCACACCGGCAAGAGGGGGCGTGGCTTTTATATCACGTGACCGCACTGGAGCAGTGGGGCCCCGCCCGGCCCTCGGAGGAGGCCCGGCTGCGACCCGGGCCGCGCGCGCCGAGGAGCTCCCCGGACCTCCTCGCGGCCGCGTCTCCTAGTCCCGGCTTCCAGCCCGGTCGCTCCCGGCCGGCTCCGGGCTCGCCGGCTGGCGGGGAGTGGCCTCAAGATGGACGAAGGCGGTGGCGGTGAGGGCGGCAGCGGTGAGTGACGGAGGTGTGGCCCGCTCGCTGGGCGGCCCCGAGGCCGGGGGTCGCGCTGTGGAGAGCCCAGGCTGGAGGCGGGTAGCCGGGTGCGGGGTAGGGTGGCGGCGGCCGTGGGGAGGTGTGCTGGGGGGTGAGGCCGGGGCGCAGGCTTCGCAGCCCTGGTGAGAGGGCATGTCGGAGACCGCGGGGTCGTCTCCCAGAGCGGTCGCGGGTCGCGGGTTCGAGGCCGGGGTCTCCGCGGCGCAGCGCCAGGTCACCTTTCCGAGATAGGGGCACACTGCGGGGCGACCTTCCCAGCGTCTCATCGCCAAGGGCGTCCACGCCCTCCCGAGTCCAGCTGTTTCGGAGGGGCCCCCCGCTCCTTCTCGGCTCTCCTCAGGTGTCTGGAGCCAGGGAGCTCGTGGGAAATAATGGGGAGGGGAAAGTTTTCGATTCGGGTGTCCCGGGGGTCCATCGAGGGAGAGGGGGAAGGTTGGAAATCATGACCGCGTCTCTGGTTTTTAGATCAAATGTGTTCACTGCGAATAGCTTCAACGACAAGAGGGGCAGGCAGCTCGAGTCCGGGTCTGAGCATGCATTTTTATCAAATTGAAAAAAAATAAAATGCTACGGGGTAGGGAGAGGTGTAAAAATAAAGAGGGGGATAAATAGCTCAGCGACAGAATCCATGTCTAGCTTGCCCAAGGCTCTGGGTTTGATCTCGGCAACACTACCAAAAGGAAAATATAATTAAGAAATTAAGGGATCAGGTGGGATCCCTTTAAAGCCGAGGGTGGGACTCCGGAGCCATGGCCAGCCCGGCTCTAAGACTCCAGGACAGGTGCGTGTGACATACACCTTTTCAGGAGTGGGTTATCAGTTCTCGGTGTTGCTGAGGCTGTTGGTGCCTTAACTTCCATCCTGCTGCAAGTGTGCTGTTGGTTGTAACCGACTCGGTGGAATACAAATTCTTGTTGTGTCATCTTGTGAATTTGGAGTTTCAAAACAGCAAGAGTCTCCGTATGTGGAGTGGATCGTTGGTTGAGAAAGCGAAGGGTTAAGTACTCCTCATTTTTAGCCAAATACCCCAAGTTGAAGCTGTCTGGACTTTGAGTAACGATCTTCCTTTTTGCTGACAGAATGATCAGAATCCCATGTAATAAGGGAGTGTTTGGGGGGAAAAAAAGTCTTAATTACAGGCTGCTGGAGCAGCTGCCCGTAAGAATCAGCAGTATTGAAGGCTTCCCCGTGAAGTGCTTAATCAAGGTGCCTTCTAGAATTCGAGAGCTTCTCAGATTTTTTTTCCTCCCCTGGAAGAAACGAGGTGGCTGGACTGGCAGGAAGTTGGCACCCCTTGTGGCATTTGCCAAGTTCAGTTCTCATAGTAAAAGCCAGGGGTAGCGCAGTGGCACCGAGTGGGTGTTTTGTTTATGAAGAGAAGGAACCCAGTTACAAACCCTCCTACATACCGGCTGCCGGTCTGGAGATGTGAGATCTCTGTGGATTCCTTGCCTTTCGCCTATATCACACTTTGACATAGTAGTTTGGAAAAGACAGGGGCAATGTTTAGACATTTGATATTGGAATCCAGGAAGGTAGCTGGTTTGGCGATTGCGTGGCGGTGCTCCAGATTCTGTGAGTGCACAAATGCAAATATTTGAAGGTAAAAGCCGGCTACAAAGGGGAAAAACGTAGAAGCCAATGTGTTTTAGCAGTTTATAGGATTTGGGAATTATAATAAAGGACGATATTTATATCAGAAGGGCTTAAAACTATCCCTCAGCTATTGAGATCTCTTCTGGGACTATATCCCAGAGAAACACTCTTAAAATTAAAAAAGATGTTACATTCAATGACGCTGCATTCCATGGTAAAAAGTAAAAAACTGAGAAACAGTAATGCCCGTCAGGTAAGATTACTTTGACGAGACATTAAAAATAACTAATTAAGGGGCCTGCTGTCAAGACAGTCTGACAGCCCGGCTGTCACGTGGTGGAAGGAGCGAACCCACGCCCACAAGTTGTCTTCTGACCTCTGTAGGTAAGCAGCAACAAGCTTGCACACACACACAATTTTAAAAAGTTACCAAGAACAAGTAGTTATTTTATAAATTCCCGTCTAGACAATGTGTATACACGGGTAGCATTAAGAATACATGCATTACTTTCAAATTTGGAAAAAAAACAACCCCAAACCTCAGCTTATGGAAAGATGTGAATATTTTAAATGTACAGTATCATTTAGTTCACCTTCCTGGAATATTCGACAATGAAAAGATTTATTGATTTTTCTGTTGAAATGCCAGACAGCATGCTCTTTGATAGAAAACAACTTTTTAACTTTCATTGATCCAACTTATCAAAATCTTTCCTCCTTATAATGTGGAAAGACAGACGTAGTTTTGGCAATCTTAGAGTATTTAATTTTGAACCAAGTGAAAATCTTTCACAATTTTGAAATGTGAGTCATTATATACTTATTGTATGAACTTGATAGGCTTCTATGAGCTATGGAGGTTTGAAGTTAGCACACAGTTCCTTGTAGTAATCTCATTTCCATTTTCAAAAACTGCTTTGCTTTGAAAAAAATTTGATTTTTTTTTTAAATCAGCCCTTTGATAAAACTATTTCAGTTACCAGGGAGTTATAAAGCATAGCATTATTTGGCATATTATTAGAGTATAGGAGAGACCTTTAATCTGCATCTGAGAACCTCTGTTTCAGCTTGCTTAGAAGATAAACGTTAAATTTATTCAAATAGTAGTTATAGTGGAGGCTGAGGATAATTTAAAAGATCTTTTTATTATTCGTGTGTTGGTCAGGTAAAGAGGACTTCAAAAATTGATTCCTACTTGAGTTTTTATAATTGAACTTTTTGTCCAGGCTTTAATTATTTGTTCTTTGCAGTGCAAGATAAGGAAAGGATGGCGTATGAACGGCTGGAAGGCCGTTACATGAAGGAGCAAGTGGCGTACAAGATTACACGAACACATTGTTCCCTGTAATGTGTGCAGAGTGTAGTTAAGGGACTTTTACTTCCTTTGGCGCTTGGTGCCTTTCAGATGTTCTAGAACAGTTCTTGAGCTAGGCCTCTACTTAGAAGGTAACTGGCTAGTTTGGCTCCTTGCCGCCTCCTGACCCAAGTTTCTGAATGTGCCATTGGGGCGGATGAAGTGGTGGGTGCGAGTTGTACCCACTGCGTTCCCATCTGTGTGGGTGCTGATGCGGTCTGTGCTCAAGCGTTCTGAGGCTCAGGATACTCAAATAGGCAAGTAGAGCTAGCGGGAGAGCCCAGCTTTCACCTGTTTGGCCCGTGCTAAGCCTGAAGTTTGAAAACGGAGTGTTGGGAAGGCCATTTTAGCCTCTGCTGGCCACAGTGCACGTTAGTCAGAGCTCTCAAAAAGGCTTAATGTACTCTGGGTCCTGGTGGCTGGGCTCTGTTTCTTGCCCTTCCCTCCTGCAGGTGCATTTCCTAGACTCTTGGGGAGTGGTCTTGCAGGGCTGGGCTTGGTAGGTGAGAGCTTTTGGGGGAGACTAGGGGCAGAAAGAAGAAGAAACGGTTTCCTTGTAACCACCGTTCTGCCTCAGGCAGTTTCTCTGCAGCTGCTCTTCCTTTAGGCTTCGGCTCCCGCCATAGGGTCTCTGCTCTTCTAGCTCCTGTCCTTCCTAGCCCCCAAGCTCTGGAAATGCCTTCTGCCTTCAGCCTTCCAACAGAAGGGAGAGCTTGTGGCTCCTCCTGGTCTCTGGGTTGTCTTACTGTTTCCTGTTTTTCTATCACATGTGTAACAAATTCCCTTCACCAGTTTCCCTCTGCTTTAGATTCCTAAAGAGATTCCTGTTTCCCTGTTTAGACCCTGATGTCAACAGGAGTAATGGGGAGTAGCTTTTAAAATCACCTGAAGTCCTCAGACTCAGTGATGGGGCTCGAGGATTTAACGTGGAGATACATTACATTTGTACCTTTTTTCCAAGGTTTCCAGGTTTTCTCTGTGTAGCCCTGGCTGTCTTGGAACTCACTCTGTAGACCAGGCTGGCCTCGAACTCACAGAGATCCACCTGCCTCTGCCTTTTGATTGCTGGGACTAAAGGAGTGCCCTGCCACCGCTGCCCCCGCCGCCACCGCCGCTGCCCACTGGGTGTATTTGTACTTGCTTAGCATGGGGATACATTTGTACTTGTGTGAGGCAATAAAGGCAGAAGATTATTCATTGCCCTAAATGTCCATCAGCAGGAGACTTGGGAGAGTAACCCTTGCTAGAGGGGATGGTGACTGAGGTTACAGAATTGAGGAAAGAGGCAAATGAGTTGATACAGAAAGACCTCCATGACGTTTTATGAAGTTACAAAAGCGCAGTAGGAAAATATGCATTGTGTGCTAGTTTCTGTGTTTTTTTTTTTTTTTTTTTTTTTTTTTAAGGAAGTGCTTGAATACGAATGAACGTTTTCTGGAAGGTTAAACAAGGAACTGAGAACAATGATCACCTGTTCAGAGAGGTTGATGAATTGAAGTGGGGAGGAAATGCTTCTTATTTCTTGAAATTGGATAAAGTTGAAATAAGCCTGTCTTCACCTTTGCTAAAATTAGAAAACAAGTTTCAGGGAAGAACAATGTGCTGTGTTGGTCAGAAAACACCCTTTCTTGTTTGGCACAGTGGATGCCTGTAGTCCTTGCACTTGAAGACTGGAGTCGGGGTGGGGTGGGGCTTGCAGTGAGTTTTAAGTCCAGCCTGAACTACA